TAAACACAGAAAGATAAATTGTCTGAAGGGCTATATTTTTGGTATTTTTGTTTATTTAATGAATAAACAATATGAATTATATAGTATCTCATGTCAACAAAGGCAACATTTCAATCTATTGAATAAACAGTAGCAGAATTCGCCTTGAGTTAATATCCTCTCCTCACACATATACTTTTCTATGGTTCACTTCAGTAAAAAGGCAAATATTTTCTGCTTTAGTTCCTGCGTATTTAGAGTGCTTAGGCTAGGCCGGGTGCATGGGTCATGCCTATAATCCTGGCACTTTGGAAGGCTGAGGCAGTTGGATCATTTGAAGCAGGACTTTGAGACCAGTCTGGCCAACATGTTTAAACCCTGTCTGTACTAAAAATACAAAAATTAGCCAGGCATGGTGGCGTGTACCTGTAGTTCCAGCTACTTGGGAGGCTGAGGCAGGAAAATCACTTGAATCTGGGAGGCAGAGGTTGCAGTGAGCCAATATCATGCCACTGCACTCCAGCCTGGATGATAGAGTGAGACTGTCTCTAAATGAATAATATTTTTTTTAAAAAGTGCTTAGCCTAGTATTGGCTGCTCACTAATCAAGGTGGTGTGTGCTGAAGGCTGCGGTGACTGTGACAATTTCTTAAGGAAGACCATAATATTGGTAGGTTTTAGATACTAAGTAAATATTTTTAAAACAAATCAATGAATCATTATTATAAATGCAGACATTAGGATGATATGTTTTGAAAAAAATTAATAGCCCTATGGGGGAAAGTTGGTTTTGTTTCAAAGCACCTTATTTTTTTGGAATAATTGTGTGTTAAGAATCAAAACACAAATACACATCAAATGATGAAAACAAATAAGCAAGAAAAACAAACCTCTTCTACATTATTTTTATTTATTTATGTTTTAACTGAAAGTTTGTGTTCTTTGATCAACATCTCCTCAATCCTTCCATATCCCAGCCTCTGGTAACCACTATTTTAATCTCTGTCTTTGAGTTTGAATTTTATACTTCAAATATAGGTGAGGCCATGCAGTATTTAGGTACTTGTCTTTCTGTACTTATTTCACTTTACATAATGTTCTTCATGTTCAAACATGGTGTCTCAAAAGATAGTCTTTTTTTCTTTTGTAAGACTGAATGGTATTCGCTTGTGTATCCAGGCACACCTCAGAGATACTGTGGGTTTGGTTATAACCACTCCAATAAAACAAATATTACAAAAAGGCAAATCACACAATATTTTTTGCTTTCCAGTGCATTTTCAGTTCTTTTCACACTAGACTGTAGTCTGTTAAGTTTGCAATAGCATTATGTCTGAAAAATGTATATTCCTTAATAAAAACAAACTTTATTGCTAAAAATGCTAGTGATTATCTGTGCCTTCATCAAGTCATAATCTTTTTGCTGGTGGAGGGTCTTACCTTGATGTAGATGGCAACTGACTGATCAGGGTGGTGGTTGCTGAAGGTTGGGGTGGCTCTAACAATTTCTTAAAATAAGACAACAATGAAGTTTGCTGTATCGATTGACTCGTCCTATCACAAAACATTTCCTTATAGCTTGCAACGCTGTTTGATAGCATTGTATTCACAGTAGTACTGCTTTCAAAATTTGAATGTGTTTTCTCAACCTCTGTGCTGCTTTATCAACTAATTTTCGGTAATATTCTAAATATTTTGTTGTCATTTCAACAGTGTTCACTGCGTCTTCACCAGGAGTAGATTATATCTCAAGAAATCACTTTCTTTGCCCATTCGTGAGAAATAACTTCTCATTCATTTAAGTTTTATCATGAAATTGAAGCAATTCAGCCACATCTTCAGGCTCTATATCTAATTCTAGTGCTTTTTGCCATTTCTACCATATCTGCAGTGATATCCTCAACTGAAGTCTTGAAGCTCTCAAAGTCATCACTGAGGGTTGAAATAAACTTCTTCCAAACTGTTAATGCTTAAGGTGGCTTCTTTCCTTAAACCTCATGAACCGTCCTCTGCTAGCTTCAAGCTTTTTTCTGCAGCTTCCTCACCTACCTCAGCCTTCACAGAATTATAGAGATCTAAGGCCTTTTTCTGGATTAGGCTTTGGCTAAACAGAATGTTATGGCTGATTTGATCTTCCATACTTACCATTAAAACTTTCTCCAGATCAGCAATAATGCTGTTTTACTTTCTTATCACTTGTGTGTTCACCAGAGTAGCATTTTTTGAAATTTCCTTCAAGAACCTTTCATTTTCATTCGCAACTTGGCTAACTAGCTTAAGAGGTGTAGTTTCCACTGGTCTCAGCTTTTGACCTGCCTTTCTCACTAAGCTTAATCATTTCTAGCATTTGATTTAAAGTGAGAGCCCTGCAAGTTTTCTTTTCACTTGAACACTTAGAGGTCATTGTAGGGTTATTCATTGGTCTAATTTCCATATTGTTGTTCTTATGGAATAGGGAGCTCTGAGGAGAGGGAGAAGAACTGGGGAACAGCTGGTTGGTGGGGCAGTCAGAACACACACGATGTTGATTAAGTTCACTGTCTTATATGGGTGGTTTGTGGTGCCCCAAAACAATTACCATAGTAACATCAAGGATCACTGATCACAGATTACCATAACACATGTAATAATGAAAGAGCTTGAAATATTATGAGAATTGCCAAAATATGACACAGAGACATGAGATGAGCATATGCTGTTGGAAAAATGTCACCAGTAGATTTGGTGGCAGTAGGTTGTCACAGATTTTTGATTGTAAAACTGTGCAATATCTGCAAAGGGCAATAAAGTGAAGCACAATAAAATGAAGTATGCTTGTATAGACCACATTCCATACCACAAGTATCCATTCATCTGTTGATGGACACTTAGGCTTATTCCATATTTTGGCTATAGTGTATAATGCTGCAGTGAACATGGGGGTGCAGATAACTGTCATTTGATTTCATTTTTAAATATATACTCAGTATTGAGATTGCTGGATCATATAGTAATTCTATTTTTACTTTTTTGAAGAATGTCAATACTGTTTTTCATCATGGCTGAAATATTTTCCACTCCCACCAACAGTCTACAAGGGTTCTCTTTTCTCCGCATTTTGCTGGTACTCATTATTTTTCATCATTTTGGTAATAGCCATTCTAACAGGTATCAGGTGATAACTCATTGTGGTTTTAATTTGCATTTATCTTTTAACTTGCATTTATCATTGATTAGTGATGTTGAGCATTTTTTTTCATATTTCTCTTGGCTATTTGTGTGTCTTCTTTTGAGAAATGTCTGTATTCAGACCTTTTGCCCATTTAATCTGTTGTTTTCTTCTTAGTCAGTTATTTGAGTTCTTTATATATTTTGGATACTAAACCCTTGTAAGACATATGGTTTGCAAACATTTTCCCCTATTCTGTATGTTGTTTCTTTACTCTGTTGACGTTTCCTTTGCTGTGCTGAAGCTTTTTAATTTGATAGAATCTCATTGATCTATTCTCATTTTTATTGTCTGTGCTTTTGGGGTCATGTCCAAAAAGTCGCTGTTCAGAGCAATGTCAAGGAGCTTCTCTATGTTTTCTTTTAGTAGTTAGTGTCTAGTCTTAAATAGGAGCTTTGGAACTAAAGTTATAGGAGCTATTTTTGCTGGAGGTCCTAGTGCAAATACTCTAAGCTTAAATGATAAACTTTGCATAATGATAAATCTTTGGGGCAAGATGACACCTATCAATATATTTTAAGGAAAATTCATATTGTAATTGTTTAATTTGGGCCAGATATAAATGTCATTTCATATGCCTCATCATATCCTAGCTAGAAGATGAATGTTAGAGGACAAATGAATTATTTCTTCATTAACCTAGCTCATGTAATCTTTAGGAAGGGGTGGAACTGCACCACATTTAAATGTTCCCTCCCCTTTTATTTTCTGAAAGAGACTGAAAAAATTGTGTTAATTCGTTTTCAAATAGTTGTTAGAATTTTCCAGCAAAACTATTTGTCCTGAATATTTTTTTTCAAAAAAATTTAAATTATACATTTAATGTTTTTAATGGTTATAGAAAGATTCAGATTATCAGTTTCATCTTGGTTGAGTTTTGGTAGCTTGTGTTTTTTCAAGCGGTTGGTTCTTTTAAACTGTCAGATTTTTTAATGTAAAGCTGTTTGTGATATTCCCTTATTATTCTTTTAATGGCTATATTAGCTATAGTGATAACCCCTATCTTGTTCCTTATGTCGATTTTTGTTTACTTACCTGTCATTTTCATCAGTGTTGCTAGACTTTACTGATTTTATTGATGTTTTTTCGAAAAAACCATTTTTTTGCTCATTTTCTTTATTGTTTTCTTGTTTGTAATTTCATTGATTACCTCTCTTATGGTTTTCGTTTCCTACCTTCTGCTTGCTTTGGGTTTATTTTGCTGTTATATTTTTCGTTCTCTGAGGTAGACACTTGGATTATTGATTTGTGATTTGTTCTCACCTTGATTATAAGCACTCTCTTCACTGCTTTGGCTGCATGCTACTTATTTTAATATGCTGTATTTCCATTTTTGTGTAGAAAAGTGTTGTTTCCTTTTCACATTGTTAGGAATTTTTCTATTGTCTTTCAGTTACTGATTTCTAGTATTATTTCATCTAGTTAACATATGCTGTACAATTTCAACTTTTGAAATTTATTCTGGTGTTTTTTTTTATGGCTTAGGATTTGGTCAGTATATGTTCCATGATGTCCTTGTTTTTTGTTTTTTGTTTTTTTTTTTAAAGAAAGAGTATTCTGCTGTTGTTGGATTGTCAAATTATTTTAGATATTAGATAGTATTTGTAGATTTTGTTATTTTTGTAGATTTTGTTGTTAAGGTATTAGTTTTCTGTGGCTACTGGAACAAACTACCACAAACTTGGTAGCTTAAAACAACATAAGTTTATTCTTTCATAGTGCTGCATGCCAGAAGCCAAAGTGTCAAAAGGACCAGAGGCTCCGAGGTAGAATCTGCTTCATGCTTCTTCTAGCTTTTTGTGGCTGCTGGCAGGTCTTGAGGTCACATCACTCCAATCTATGTCTCTTTGTTCATGTCACCTTCTCCTTTGTGTGTAGTGTGTGTGTGCATGTGTGGCCTCCCTCTGCCTTCCTCCTGTTAGGCCACTCATGATGATCAAAGTATCAGAATATATAATATTATCATATTTGTCTCAGTCATCTCATATGATTTAGACAACTCATGAGGAGAAGATATTTTATGTATTTACCCATATTTCTAGTCCTTCTGTTCCTTTTCTTCCTTCCTGGTGCTCAAATATTTTTTTTCTCTTTTTCTTTCATTTGAAGACCTTTCTTTAGCCATTCTTTAAGAGTAGATCTGCTAGGACAAAGATTTTTAGTTTTTGTTTGTCTGCAGATGTCCTTTTACCCCACTTAATTATTGGAGGATAGTTTCCCCAGATGTAGAATTCACAGTTGACAGTTCTTTTTCAATTTGAAAAATAATGTGCTACTTTCTTCTGGCCTCTATAATTTTAGATGACAAATCAGCTGCCATTCAAATTGGTGTTGCCTATAAGTAATGTGTCATGTTTCTCTGGCTGCTTTCAGAATTTTTTCTTTGTATTTAATTTTCAGAAGTTTAACTGTGATGTATCTTGGAGTGAATTCCTTTCAGTTTATCCTTATTTAGAATCCATATAGTTGAATCTGTGGGTTTATGTCTTTCACCAAATTTAAGACATTTTCATCTATAGTTTATTCAAATACTATTTCAACCTTACTTTCCCTTATACTTTTGGAACTCTTAGGATGTGAATGTGGATTTCTTTTTTATTGTCCTAAAGATCCCTAAAACTTTTTTTTTTTTTTTGAGCCTATTTTCTCTCTGTTGTTCAGATTCAGTAAATTCTATTAAGCTGTCCTCAATTCACTGATTCTATCCTCTGTCATCTCCATTCTAATTTTGAGCCCACCCAGCATGTTTTCTATTTTTGTTGCTGTATTTTTCAGTTCCATAATTTCCATTGGTTATTTTTATATTCCTATTGCTTTACTGAGATTTTGTGTTTTTAAAATTCATTTAAAAAAGAATTTATAATTGCTTGTTGAAATATTTTCTTATGCCCTCTTTAAAATTCTTGACAGATAATTCCAACATCTGATTCATTTTGGTGTTGGCGTCAATCGATTGTCTTTTCTCACTCAAGTTGTGATTTTCTTGGTTCTTATTATGATTCTTATTATGATGGTTGACTGTCTATTATATTTTTGACAATTTGGGTATTGTGTTAGGAGACTCTAGATTCTATTTAAATTTTTTATTTTAACAGTCAATTCCTCTGTTTAGGCTTGGCATGTAGGTCCTGGCCTATTTTTGTGGTTTTTAGTTGCAATGACTGTGTAATTTTCAGAGGTTATATGGTGCTATTTTCATCTTGGTTTATTTCATGCCTCATGGCTCCTACTGTCCTTGGTAATGCTGCTTGAGGGTGCAGAGCAAGCTTCTCCAGGTCAGATATTCTTATGTCTCTATATGGAGGGGATTTTCAGCCCATGTGGATGAAGAGTAATTCCCAGCTGGGCATTTGTTGTGCAAAATTTCTCTTGCTGGTGACTCTAGCCATATACTTTCTTGGGTAGTGAGTGATGGTGGGTTTGAGAGGGAGAATATCAGGACATTAAGGACATTGAAGCTTCTCAGGCTGGGCACTGTCTCCTGCTTTTTTAGCTAGAGCTAGTTCTTTGAAAGCAAATGTTGCTCTGTGAGAGCAATAGCCCTTCTGGAAGCCCCTTTAATTGTTGAAGCACCGGGGACATATCATTGTGTTTGTGCTTTCATAGATTACATTGCAGGGATCTGAAAGACCAGAAACTAAATCTAGAAGTGCCCAGTTTTTGTTACTGAACTGAATTTTAAAGAATAGGCATGGAAATAGCAACTACATCTATGTGTGTAGCAACAATTTCTCTCTTTTCAACTGCCCATTGTGAACATCTCTTTAAGGTTGTTTTGCCATCACATTGATTTATATTTAAAATTGTAATTTCTTCGCTTCTCTCTCCTTCACCATCAGGCTTCCACAGTGGTTAAGAGTGTTTACTTTGGAGTCAGTCCAGTTTGGGTTTGAGTGTTGGTCTTACTGCTTATTAGCTGTGTATTCTTAACAAATCTCTTAACCTCCCTAAATCTTAAAACTGAGGATAGTAATAGCTAGCAAAAGAGTAAAATTCAGTAATAAAGTATAAATTACATATTAATTAAGTTACTCAGCATAGTACATGGGCAATAGCAAGTACTCACAGATGTGTTGAGTTAGCTACAGGCATCATCATCCTCAACATCACTATAATATTTTCCAGTTTATAGATAAGGAAACCGAGGCTTTGAAAGGATAAGGAACTGAACCTAGGTCAGTTTTCCCACTTAATTGTCAGGAGAGTTGAAGTTCAAATTCAGACCTGACTTCTTCTAAATCCTTCTTTTCAAACTATTATGTAACACTGCCTCAAATGATTTTCTTATAAAACTTGAAGCTTCATGAGAGCATGGATTAGGCCATGCTCAAGATATGCAAAAATATAAAACATGTAATGTGCAGTTATATGACCTGGACTTACTCAATTCTGATTACTTATTGATAACAGTGGTAAATATTTTCATCAAAATATCTGTGTATTAACATACAACAAATCCCCATGACATGAAATAACCTATATAACAAACCTGCACATGTATCCCCCAACCAAGTATAAAAGTAAAATGAAAAAAGAAATAAAGCAGACACTTTAACAGAACCTGACAACCAAAGTTTGTGATAGTATGACATTTAACCCTTTACTATAGCTCAAAGCAAAATACCCCCCTTTGTTATGCTTACCAATTTCTGAAATCTGTCAAATGTTATGACAGTTTATTTTTCTGATGTCTTCTGTGCTATCTCATTGAAACTTCAATATGATGTAAGATGCAATAAAACCTTAGATAGATGTTTCTATTTTAAGCAATTTTCCACAATTCTTTTACATACAAATATGTAGTTCTTATAGTAGTTTTACTTAATGCTAAGTTAATAAATTCAGATAATGATGAATTTCTGAATTTATAATTATAATGAGAAAAATAATTGAAGAAGGATAATTTATATTATTTTCCAATTAAAGTAAAAATACATTGGTGACAGAGATACAAATGGTGCCATTGAATCTGCCCATTTATTAAAAAAAAATTCACTGAGAAAATATTGAAAAGGAAGTTATTTACTTTATTTGTTTGGGCTTCTCTTCTATGAATTGTTTTTCTGTAGTGTAGGCAATCAGCAACTTTTTCTTCTTTCAGGGTCTGTTTATGTAGAGATTTCAGAAAACAAACTAATGGCCACATATAAATCAAGGACATATTTACTGTTTTATATTTTTGAGACAGGAATGTGAAGTATTCGATTCAAACTTTTATAAATTAAAGAAATCTTTAAAATGTATTATATAGAGGCAACAATATAAATTTATGCATACATACATACACTGATTCCGTATTTAAAATGAAGATGGAGATAATAAAGGCAAAAGAGAATAAGGTTTAGTTGTGATGGTAAATGTTAAAGTTGATACCTAAGAAGAAAAGAGAAAAAAAAGAAAACAGGAACCAATGGAAAAAAATGAGAGAGTGGGGTCCAAGCGATGAGGAAGAGAGACCAGCAGAAGGAGAGACAAACACCAAATGAAGAGAGGAGGGTGAAAAAAGTGCAACTCCAGGAAGCAAGAGCGAAGAAAGAAGGAAGCAAGAGGGAGAAGAAAAAAGAAGTAATTGGAAAGAAATGTGAAGACAGAGAGAGAGAGACTACATAGAAGTTTAAATATATGAGTATCAGATGTTATCATTGCCATTTAAAAATATGATTAACTCTATTAAGCTTATCAAGGTTTTTGCGCTTATGTCAATTGTAAAAATATGGATATAATAATTTTTAGGCCGGGCGCAGTGGCTCACTCCTGTAATCCCAGCACTTTGGGAAGCCGAGGCGGGTGGATCACGAGGTCAGGAGATTGAGACCATCCTGGCTAACACGGTGAAACCCCGTCTCTACTAAAAATACAAAAAATCAGCTGGGTGTGGTGGTGGGCGCCTGTAGTCCCAGCTACTCAGGAGGCTGAGACAGGAGAATGGTGTAAACCCGGGAGGCGGAGCTTGCAGTGAGCCGAGATCGTGCCACTGCACTCCAGCCTGGGTGACAGAGCGAGACTCCATCTCAAAATAATAATAATAATAATAATAATTTTTAAACTCTGGGATTGTACATTATGTGTATCTTTCTTACCATGCCCTTAAGATCCTATTAACAAGATAGTATGTATTATTAACAACACTCTTCCCCCCAAAAACATACAAAATATATACAAAACAATCTGTAAATATTTTACAGGACAATTATTTTCTTTTTACTCAAACCATAGCCTGCAGTATTTTGAGAGTCTATTTTAGGTGGTGAATTTAGAATGTCTTCCTCCTCCTATTCTCTGGCCCAATATAGATTTGGTTCTCCACCATACTGTGATATGTTTGAAAAGGGGAACCATATTTTATCTTTCTATCCTTATCATCCAGAGCAGAGCACTATTAGTAAACAAAAGATACTCAATAAATATTTTAGTGAATAAATGAGAGTAATATAAATAAAAGGATGAAATACTGAACTTTAGCAGAAATTTTACATAAGGTAAAGTGAGCATTTAATTCCATAAAAATTATAACATCAAGCAAGATTCCATTTTATTTTCTTATATAAATAAGATCTTGGTGAATGATACAAGGGAGCAAAGTAAAAATATTAACGGACTTAAAAATCCAAATCCCTACAGTTTATTCCATGTTTGTTCAGTGCCACCAGTTTTTATCAACTAGCTTAACTATTTAGCTATAAAGAAGAAGGAAGATACACGTATTGAGCACATTCTGTGTGATAGTGGAACATAGATGAAACTGCTGCACAGTCCCAATTGGTCGACTTTTAGCCTATTCTTTCTAAGTAATTGCAACTAGCTTCTTCTCCAGGTGTTCTTAGTTTCACCTTAGTCCAATCCAAATAGCTATAGTTGTAGCCATACCCCACCTTCACCTTCCTTTTCTACTGGTGCTCATTGTTCGTGCCCTCTGAAGGTGTTCGTTAGGCTACCGGATGTAAGCTTGTGTTTGCTAAGTTTCCCGTTAAATCTCTGTTCCCTAAATTATCCAGTGAAAGGGCATAGAAAAGAGGAATAGATTTAAATTATTGTACCCTCAGATTCTTTATCATATGACCCAAATTCCTTTAGTATTATAATTATTATTTTTTCATTTATTTTTAGTTTATATGAACATGCTAGTTGAGTGATATTTTCTGATAATGTTAGCTTAATGATATCTGGTTTATATTTTTATCTTTAAGAATAAGAGAACTGTCCACTAATCTAACCAACGCAATAACTAGGACATTTTCAAAGTACTATAATGGTTGAGAAATGATTTACTTAAGGCCAAACAATTACTTTGATTCATTTTAACCTCCTGGATTTATTTTCTGAAAGGAGTATTATTTTAATGACAGTTAAATATAGTTATTTTGACTGATGGATTTACCATAATTTTATTATTATTTAGCAGGCTGAAAGCTTTTGAATTGGCTCATAAACCAGTTTCATGATGTACCTGAGAGTATCATCTTAAATAAAAAATGTTTTCCTGGTTCACTTTTCACTGATCTCACTTTCCATTTCATTATTGTCTTTAGAAAGTAGCTGAGTGAGATATAAAACAATTGTTTCTCTTCAGAACCATGAATTTTAAACTGGCTGAAAATCAGATTTAAATTTGCTTATGTGGATGCAGTAACCGAGTATTGCTAATAAAACATTTTTTTCTTTCTATTCATCAGATAATATATTAAATTTTGTGAACCTACTATGTGAAGAGTACTGATCAAAATTCCATGTTAATTTCACAGGTGATGGAAGTCAAAGGACAAATGATCCATGTTCCAGAATCAAATTCCATTTTATTTTTGGGCTCTCCATGTGTGGACAAGTTGGATGAACTCATGGGCCGAGGGCTACATCTCTCAGACATCCCTATCCATGATGCCACCCGAGATGTCATTTTGGTTGGTGAGCAGGCAAAGGCCCAAGATGGCTTGAAGAAAAGGATGGATAAATTAAAGGCAACTTTAGAAAGAACTCACCAGGCCCTGGAAGAAGAGAAAAAGAAGACAGTGGATCTTCTATATTCTATTTTCCCTGGCGATGTAGCCCAGCAATTGTGGCAAGGGCAGCAAGTACAGGCCAGAAAGTTTGATGATGTCACCATGCTCTTTTCAGACATTGTTGGCTTCACAGCCATATGTGCCCAGTGTACTCCCATGCAAGTAATCAGCATGCTGAATGAACTGTACACCAGATTTGACCACCAGTGTGGATTTTTGGATATTTATAAGGTAAGGGAGTTTAGTTACTTATATGTAAATGTTTTTTAATAGTAACTTGTCATCTTAAACTGATTTTTTAACTTAAACTTAATACTAAATAATTGATAACTCTTTAATTTAGAAATCTTTATAGAGAATACAGGTGTTTCTTCTTTATGAGTAAACTTTCAATATGAGTTGATTTGTAATAACATAGATAACTGTGAAGAATCATGATATTGCTCAGTAAGGAAAAATTCTGTATAGCTACTCCTCTACGTTTTTTTTTTATTAAAAAATTAAACTTGTTGAATTTTAGGCGACTTTTTACCACAGAATTATTCTTGCCTAGAAAATGGGATTCCAATATAAACTAAGAATTTTATTTTTACAGTTAAAAAGAAATAGCAAGTTAAAATATGCATTGTATTATCAAATATGGCTAATCAGGATTTTGTACTGCATTATTAACTGAGATCTCTATAATTCTAAAAAAAAAAAAGACCTATATATAAATACCCCAGCTATTGCTCAAATGACTAATGGGTTTTTGAGGAAGTACCTTAATTTTCCAAGCTACATAATGGAAAAACTCCCAAAATTGGTGCCAACCACCATTTGTTGATTTGATTTGGTGAATTCCTTATTAATTTCTTATTAAGATCATAGCAATATTTTGAGCCATTTAGCTCCATATCTACCTAATGGATAACTCTACAACTTTACCTAGAATCTTACGTGGATTGCACAATTTGTCAGGGTGCAGGGCTTTTTTTATATAAAGGGAATCAAGTCCTTTTAGTATAAAAGTTGTGAACTGCAGGTTTTATTTTCTTCTTTACTACTACATATTGACCAGCTACTTACTTTTATAGTATGATCTTCACATAAACAGATTTAGAAAGAACCTGTCTGATTCACTTTGTACATTTTATATTATCATCCAGAGGGCATTTTTATGAAGGTGTGTCTTGGGGAAAGGAGCTCTTTAGTTTCATTATGTAGACTTATATAGCCAATGTTAAATATTTTACTTGAATTTCTTCTGAGTGGTAAACATTCAGTATGAAGTATGTATGAGGGATTTTCCTTGTTATAGAAAATTAAGTTCTTATAAATTATCTTTAACTCCCTTATAATTTATTGGTATATAATTTACAGCAGTGGTAGCCAAATGTCTGATTCCAAACCAGAGAGATACTATAATGTTATACTGTCATTTTCAGGACAGAGGAGATCAGCTGAATTTGGCAACACTTTCCTTCCTCCGTACTTGGGGCACTATTACACCAATCTCTGCAACAACCAGTCTTTTCCCTCTAAACTACTGATTTGCGGTGTTCGCTTCCTCCAGTTAAAGCAGTCATGTTTTTTTTTGTTTGTTTGTTTTGTTTTGTTTTTTTAGCCCTAAGTTCATACAACTAAATGAGAATGATAATAGATAAATAAATTATTCTTTGGAAAAAACATGGGAATCCCTGACAAACTTAAGTATCAGTTAGACTTTGAGAAAAGAAGAAATGTGATGCTTCTGAGTATACCAAAGCAGGCTCAAGGTTTTAAAATACAACTTGATTTCTTAGACATCAAGCATTCCTTCCCTTGATATAAGCTAGGACATCTCACAGAAAAACAGTAGAAATATTCTGTATGATCTTCAAATTTTCCTATATATTTTTAAACCATGGACAGTTTCATCTAGTCATAATAATAATCAACAAGTTTTAACTTACAAAATGTTTATACACACACACACACACACACATAATAATTCTAGTTCACAACTTTTCTTAAACTAAACTTGCTTAGGAAAGTTTGCAATGAATTATAACTAAGTAAGATTCCAGGGCTTGGTGTTCTTAACATATCTTCAGTGCTAGTGTATTAGCCAGGGTTCTCTAGAGGGATGGGACTAATAGGATAGCTGTATATATGAAAGGGAGTTTATTAAGGGGTATTGACTCACACGATCATAAGGTGAAATCCCACCATAGGCTGTCTGCAAGTTGAGGACCAAGGAAGCCAGTTCGAGTCCCCAAACCTCAAAAACAGTGCAGCCTTCAGTCTGTGGTCGAAGGCCTGAAAACCCTAGTGTAGGTCCAAGAGTCCAAAAGCTAAAGAACTTGGAGTCCAATGTTTGACGGCAGAAAGCACCTATCACAGGAGAAAAATGGAGGCCAGTAGACTCAGGCCAGTTTAGTCCTTCCACATTCCTCTGCCTGCTTTTATCCTAGTCACGGTGGCAACTGATTAGATGGTACCCACCTGGATTGAGGGTAGGTCTGCCTCTCCCAGTCCACTGACTCAAGTGTTAATCTCCTTTGGCAACACCCTCATAGACACACCCAGGAACAATATTTTTTACCCTTCAATCCAATGAAGTTGACACTCAACCATCTCAGGTAGTAAGTATATGTATGTAGGATAGGTGTATAGGGCTGCTTTGGCTGCTTATTCAGGATTAGGGAGGTTGAGTTTGGGAAATCCAGACTGGAAATACAATATATGCTAAATCTATAGCAATAATGGTTTGGCCAGAGAAGGAAAGACAAATAAAGAGATATTGGTCCTGTATAGGATTTAAAAAGTACATTGGAAGAAATGCGTTAGGAGGGATATAAATTAGAAAACTTCTATTTGACCAGCCTGATTTGTAATCTTCATAAACATTCTAGTGTATTTTCTAAAAAATATACACAGTGCTATTTTAAACCATGAACTATTTGCTAAATTTTTAATTGTTATTGAAACAAAAAATCCCAGAGGCGGTAGAATTTTTTGTAAGGATCACAAATCTTCCTATTTTATGAAATGAAAAGAGTTTTGCTAAATTGAAAGTGTGTATAGAATTTTGGTAATTATGTAGAATAACGATACCACAGAGAAAAATAAGGTACAGCCCACCTTTTATGTTTCTGGAAATGTGAAAGGAAGCCAGGTAAAACTAAATGCCAAGAGAAAAGAACTAGATGGAGTGACCCACATGGGGCTTTCATAGTGTGCTATGTATGACATGAGATACTAGTCTCTAAATTGGTGGTTGCCCCTCTCTTCTTCATGTCATTGCTCCATGTTTTCCTATCATTAGGGAGATGATAGAGTGAATAATTATAATTTCAGTGGTAGAATCCAGATAAATTAAGACATAATAAGACCATTCTGCTGAAATAATCAAGCTTTCTATAAAGTCGAGGGTTGAGGAAGAAGCTGTGGATTTTGCTGTGCTCATATCAAGCACTGAGAAAATGAAAGCCTTTACAATACTTAACTGCCAAGATGTTACAGGTGTATGAATACTACGTAAGAGCTAGGCAAATTGAAGGAGGTCTGGATTACAATTTTGTTTCTCTTGTAATTAGAAAGGCAAATTTTCAGTAAAAGTCGACATAAACAACATATGTAATGTTTTGCTTCTCAGATTGTTCTCTCATGAACATAAGGAACCAGTATCTAATTTTGTAAATCAATGGCATATAAATAATAATAATAATAAATAATGCATTGACTATTGAAGCAAATTAATGTACATTTTGCTTTATTTTATATTTGTCTTTGGGAAAACCTTTGATTTCAGATAAACAGGGAGAAAGACTTCTCCACTTTCTCTGATTCTGTTCTGCCACGGTTACAGTGTTCCAGTGCTATTTTAAATATAATCTTTAGCATTCCCATCTTTTCACCTTTAAGCACTTTAACTTGACTTTTCTCCAGTTCTGTGCCCCATAAAATAAAGATACTCAGTGAATCAATCTCATAGTTACATCATAAGCATTTCAGTGAGCTTTCCTATACTCGAAGAACTTAGAATAGCATCTGGTGCATAGTAGTAAATGTAAATATTAGCTGCCATTGGAACTTCTCAGACAGGTGTATCTATCTAGACATACAGGGATGTGTGTTATGTGATTATGTTTTTTTTTGTGTGTGTGTGTGTGTATATAGATATATACACACACAGAGCTTTTTAGAAAAGAATAAAATATGATCTCATTTAATCCCTCCTTGAATAACATGTGGCATTATGTATATTTTCAGATAAGAAAACTGAGTTTTGGAAAGGTTAAATACAGATAACATGGCTCATAAGTCAGAATTTGAACTGAGACTTGTCTGATTCTAAAGCCTATAGTTTTTATACAATTTAGGCTGTGATCTAGACAAAGATCAAATGACAGAAACCAAGTGGAAACTGTTTAAAAATGATGTTACAGAATCAGTAACTGTAGTTATACTGTCAAGTTGGAGATTCTCCCATCTGCCATCTTTTCTCTTTGTTAGAAACCAGCCAGCACCTCCGTCTTCATTCCTCCTATGGAAAGTAGCATACCAAAAGAGGTATTGTGGGAGCAGTGGTCCCAGGTGCAGGCAATAAGAGGTATATTTTTAAAACAGTGAAATGGAAGAAAAGTTGATGTCGTTTTAAAAATCACCTTGCCCAGGTAACTCTAAAAATGTTAATGATGGCCGGATGCGGTGGCTCACACCTGTAATCCCAGCACTTTGGGAGGCCAAGGTGGGTGTATCACCTGAGGTCAGGAGTTCAAGACCAACCTGGCCAACCTGCTGAAACCGTTTCTACTAAAAATACAAAAATTAGCCAGGCGTGGTAGTGGGCGCCTGTCATCCCAGCTAGTCGGAAGGCTGAGGCAGGAGAATTGATTGAACCCAGGAGGTGGAGGTTGCAGTGAGCTGAGATCTCGCCACTACACTCCAGCCTGGGCAACAGAGTGAGACTCCATCTGAAAAAAAAAAAAAAATATTAGTGATAAAATACTTTTCTGTGTCAGAGTAAAGGTAGAGGGAGTATTCCCATCACAGCTTTCAAGTGTGGTTTGCAAATGTCCATGGCATTAAACATTGTCAGGTTTAGATTGGGAAGAAGTCCACAGTAAGACAAGATAGTGCAACCAGGAAATACCAGGACCAAAATTCTATTACATTAGGGAACCTGAGTTGAAAATCTGAAAAACAACAACACAAAGTTCATATTGGCAAAGGAATGCAAGTATTATAAGTCTAGCTGGAAAAGC